AAAAAAAAAAAAAAAAAAAAAAAAAAAAAAAAAAAAAAAAACCTGCTCCTCTGATGCTGCCTGGCCTGACATGGTGGAACTTGCTTTTTATTTTCTTAACTCTGACCTGACAAGCCACCAAAGTCAGCTCCCTCCAGCTAAATAACCTGCCCATGTTAGACAGAGATCTTTAAGCTTATGAAAATAATTGACACAGTTCTAAAAAATGCTTCACAGAAGCATAATCAAAATACTGACACTGAGCAGGAGAAGGTAACATATTGGAAAGGATGGATAATCAATTGGTTACTGAAAGCTGTTACCTGTTCGTGCATTGGCCAATAACGTAGTTGAGCCACCAAGAATGTGGTGGCTGATAGGTTCAGGAATATTGACTGCAATACCATTGTTCAAGTTACCTACAAACATTTCAGCAGTAGAAGGTACAGATCCTAAACTGGACCCCCGCTGATCCTTAGATCATGAAGTGAGCTGTCCTCTGTTATTCTAAGCTGAGTATTCAATCAGTTGCAGCTTTAATTCATGGAACATGGGTCAAAATCCGGTTTCTGGATGCAGCTACACAAGGGCTTGAATAATTCAAGAAGGTGGCACATTAACTCCTTCTCCAGGGCAATTATGGATTGTCAACAAATGCCAGCAATATCAATATCCAATGAACGAACACAATAAAGGCATGTGATCACCTTCCAAGCTTGCTTACTTTCAGTTTGCAGCATTTCTTGAAATATAATTAAGCATCATTAGGCAGCAACTTCTAAACCCACGACACCACCATCCAGAAGGACAAAGGCAACAGTTGAATGGAAATATCACCACCTGCAAATTCCTTCCAGCCACTCTCCATCCTGATTTGGAAATACACTGTCTTGTCTTTGGTAATGCTCGTCAAGATCCTTCAACTCCCTAGCAGCATGATGGGTCTACCTACACCATATGGACTGCAGCCCAGCACTACCTTGTCAAGGACAACTAGGAATGGGCAATAAATGCTGGCCCAGTCAGTGATGCCCACAGTCCATGAACAAATAAAAAAAATTAAATTTTTGAAGAGTTCCTTTTACGTGTCCCCTTTTCTCAATGTTACATTTTCGAATAAAATCTTGTACATAATATGGTTGCCTTTCTGATGCGTTAGTGGAAAACATTCTGATGCCACATAAACAAAGCATACTTTTGAAGGAAAAAAATTTCTCCAAATTTAAACCTTTGCAAGAACAGGTCATCTTAGATCAAGTAATGAACCCAAATTAGTGAATGATACAACAGTTAGTGAACACCCAGCCAACAATAACTATTATACTTCACATTATCTTCGAATGGGCAAAGGAGGATTCAAAGTTTTACATTTAGGTAATGCTGATTTTGGAATGATAAAGGAGAAATTAACAACAATAGAAAGGAAATGATTGTATGAACTGATAAAACTGCTGAATATTGAGAGATGTCTACAGCTGTATTTGGTAAAGCATAAAACTTATGCATCCCAATAAATGTCAAGAATTGTACAAGCAAATGATTCGGTCAACTCGAGAGAATCAGAAAATACTGTAATTGTAAATTAGAAAATGGCAGCCTTCTAAACAAAGACTTTGCATTGATCTTCACAATACAGGATAAGCCTAAAATACCAGTAAAATAAGGAAAATTAAAAATAAATGGGGCAACTAATTAGATTCAGTAAGAGTGAAAAAAATAATTATGGGGAACACAAGAGAACTGAAGGTAGAGAAATCCCCAGAACATAATGATTTCTACATTAGCGTATCCAAAGAATTAATTGAGAAAACTGTCATGATTTTCAAACTCTCCTGATTTCAGATATTGTGCCCCTGGATTTTGAAAGTTGCCAATGTTGCCAAAACTAATGTGCTGCAATTGGTTCTGGTTATCACACATTAGGAAGGATATACTGGTCTTGGAATAGGTGCAGCACAGATTCATCAATATTAAATTATGAGTATATATCCCAAATTATGCTTCTATTTCCTTGAACATGGAAGATTCATCTCTGATCTAATTCAGTTGCTTGAGACAGAAACATATGAAAGAAGCTTCAATAAGCCCTTGAGCCTACTCCGTCATTCAACTAGATCATGGCAGAACTATCTCAATGCCATTTTCTCTCATTATCCCCAAACGCCTTAATATTGAGAAATGTTGATTAAATTAGACAAGTAAAGAATAGAATAGAAAGAATTGCATTTATATAGTGTCTTTCACAATCATCATCTCAAAGCACTCTACACTGAATGAAGTATTCTCGAAATGTAGACACTGTTAAGTAGGAACCATAGCAATCAATTTGTGCGTAGCAAGCTCCCATAGCAGCAATGTTAATGACCATACGCTCTATTTTTGTGGTGTTGATTGGTGAAAAGACACTGACCAGAACTGGGAAAATTTCCTGTTCTTCTTTGAAATAGTTCCAGGGAATATTTTACATCTACCTGAAAGGGCAAATGGGGACATAGTTTCATGTCCCATCTGAAAGATGGCACCTTCTTTGTACAGCAATAGAGCACCATCCTAGTTTTTCTAACTCAAGTCCTGATGTGGAATATATACCTGGAACTTTATGACTCATAGCAAGAGAGCTACCAGCCAACAAGGGAGGCAAAGGGTCCAGATCAAGTGATCACAGACATAACACTGGAGTTACGCCTTTCAAGAATAATATTCAAAAGCATTTCTTTCATACAACGGTACAGGAAATATGGAAGTATCTCCCTAAAATGTTTTGGAGACAAGGCCATTTAAAAACTTCAAAACTGTGATTAATGGATATTATTAGGAAAGTGCATTAAGGATCAAGGCAAGTAAGATGTTGTTAAAATACAGCTTAATCTATATAACTGAAAAACAAAAGAAGTTTGATCAGCTGATCAGCCCATGCCTGTTTCTATGTCCCTAAGTAAGTATTTAAAAATGTAATTACAAACAATATCAATGAAAGGCAGCACTGAAAACATGATTTAAAACCAGAATTAAAAACAATCTGAAACATTTCTTAGCATAACTATACTGCTGGAGCATCCTTTTATGTATGTTCCTAAGATGTGAATGGAGCACTCAGTTCAAAGCAGTAGAAGGACACACTTAACATCATGCTTAGTGTAAATGTTATAATATCTAAGGCTAAAAGCTTATCCAAAAACAAATTAAGCATCTAAAAGAAATGGCGCTGATCTAGCAATCAGAATCTCTGCTCAATTTTCTTGCTCCAGTTTCGGGCAATCTGTCCAGATCCGTCCACATCGACTCCATGACCACGAAAGCACACCAACATCTCCATTTCCTCATAAGGCTAAGGAAATTCCATGTCCGCAAAGACTGTTAACAATATTTCTAGATGCACCGTAGAAAGCATCCTATCCGGATGCATCACAGCTTGGTATAGCAACTGCTCTGCCCAAGAAATTACAGACAGTTGTGAATACAGTCCAGTCCGTCAACCAAACCAGCCTTCTACTGACTGACTCCATGTATACCTCCGCTGCCTCGGGAAAGGACCTTTTGAACGGATCTCTCATATTAGATTTGATCTTTCTCTGAACCTTCTCTGTAGCTGTAATACTTTATTCTGCATTCTGTTCGATTATCCTGATATACTTATCCAAGTATTTGCCTGTATAACACACAAAACATTATTTTTCACAGTACCACAGTACATGTGACAATAATAAATCAAAACAAATCATACACAACTGGGATTTTGTCTTCTATTAAAAATTAAAGAATGTCACATTTTCTGTGGCAGCCAAGGCCCAGAGTATGCCAGATGCTGGTCAGCTGAGAAGGCATTTCTGTAACAAAGAACTCAAACAGATGTAAGTAAGTAAACTGGTAAATATATTCAACATACTGAGGTAGAGATCGATTCACAGAATTACATTCAGCACAACTGAAATCTGCTAAAAGGAAATGGCTGTCCCCAGTCGAGTTTCTCAAAGACTCTGCTCTGTTCTGTGTTTCTATATTTTTTGTACCTGCTCCTGCTCTGAGCATAATTCGGATTGCAGCTGAAATACTTCTAGGTGGTGGAGAAGTGAAGACATCTCCGGCAATGGCACCAGACAACATTCCTACACCAATGTATCCTGAAAAGAGAGAAAATAAACTTTAAAAGTCTATGGCAGTTTCTGCATTCAAGAAAAAAAATCTTTGAAGAACACATTCTTTATTCATCCTCTAATTTTCTGTCCCCCAATGTTGAAGGCACTGACTCCTGTTAGTGTATACCTTTAGGTATATCGGTGTAACCAAATCATTTCCAAGTGCTCATTTTCACATGTGCATCCAAATAATTGGCAGCAGCACATGTAACTTGGACATAAGCAACATACAACCCCATAATGTTCTTTACCTAACAGGGAAGAAAGCAGCAGAATGAACCGGAAGGTGATGTAGAATGAGGTCATAGTGAGGACAGGGAAAAACAATCTTGCATACATCACATAATTTTTTTTTGTTATTTATTCACTTGTGGGACACGGAAATCGCTGGAGGCCAGCATTTATTGCCTGTCCCTAGCTGCCCTTGAGAAGGTGGAGGTGAGCTTCCTTCTTGAACTGCTGCAGGTCATATTCTGTATGTTGACTCACAATGTCCTTAGAGAGGGAATACCAAGATTTGACCCAATGGCAGTGAAGGGACAGCAATATATTTCAGGATGGTGAGTGGGTGAAGGGGAATTTGCAGGTAGCGGTGTTCAGATGCATCTACTGCCCTTGTCCTTCTAGGTGAAGTAGTGTTAAGCTTGTTGTGTTGTTGGAGTTGCTCTCATCCAGGCAAGTGGAGAGTATTCCCGTGCACTTCTGAATTGTGCCTTGTGGACAGACTTTAGGGAGTCAGGAGGCAAGTTATTTGCTGCAGTATTCCTAGCTTCTGGCCTACTATTATGGACACTGCGTTCTTTTTTGCTCCGTCCAGTTCAGTTTCT